TTTTTTTAAGATTTTATTTACTTTTATAGAGGGGGAGGGAGGAAGAAAGAGAGAGAAACATAAATGTGTAGTTGCCTCTCACGTGGCCCTCACTGGGGATGTGGCCCGCAACCCAGGCATGTGCCCTGACTGGGAATCGAACCTGCAATGCTTTGGTTCACAGCCCGTTCTCAATCCACTGAGCTAAGCTAGCCAGGGCATAATTTTGCCATTTTAATTATGATGTGTCTTGAAGTGGGCTTCTTTGGGTTCCTCTTGATTGGGACTGTGTTTCCTGGATTTGTGTGACTCTCTCATCAAATTATGGAAGTTTTCCATCATTACTTTTTCAACCAGGTTTCTATCCCTTGCTCGTCCTCTCCTCCTTCTGGTATCCCTATTATATGGATATTATTACACCTCATGTTGTCTTGCAGTTCACTTAACACCTCTTCATTCTTTCTGAGTCTCTTTTCCTTTTCTTGCTCATTCTGGGTGTTTTTTCATACCTTGTCCTCCAGCTCACTGATTCAATCCTCTGCTTCATCTAGCCTGCTTTTCATTTCTTCTACTGTGTTCTTCAATTTGGAAATTGTATTCATTTCCTCTTGGCCCTTGTTGATAAGTTTCCATTTCCTTTTTCATGTTGATACAGTTTGCAATGAGTTCACTCTAGTTTCCCTGTAGTTTTTGGTAATTTTCTGTGAGCTCATTGATCTTCCTTATAACTATTGCTTTGGACTCAATATCTGATAGTTGACTTGCCTCTATTTCATTTAGCATTCTTTCTGAGGCTTCCTCCTTTCTTTTCATTTGGGGATTGTTTGTCTTCCCATTGTTTGTGAGACTCTTCTTGTTACCCTCTGCTTCTTAAATTGATCTGTTCTGACTTCCTAGGTTTATGGTGTGAACTCCTGTGGTAGAATACCTGTGAGATTCTGTGGTTCAGTCTCCTTGGTCTCCTGAGCTTATTGATCTTGGGCTGTCATTTGTTAGATCTCTGTATGTCTTTGATTTTTTTTATTGTTGTTGGATCTTTCTTTGGTGGGTCCTTCTCTCCAGCTGGTTAACGGAGGGTCACTCCATCCACCACATTTTTATTCTGTTGTGCAAGTATGGACAGGTTGGTTCTGTCCATACCAGCAGGTGTGAAGCTGGTTCTTTTGTCTGTACAAGGTTTTGAGGCTTCTTTCTATTGTTCAGTTCTTTGTCCTGGGTAATTTCCTCCACCATTTAGTTGTATTTCTAGATTGGTGCTGGGTGGAGGTTAGTGTGGCTTCCACTCACTCCTTCACCTTCTTCCATTATTATCTGTTGGTGGTGGTTCCTTTTTGGTGGGTTTCCTCTTCCAGCCAGTATACTGGTGTTCACAGCTTCCACTTACTCTTTTATGTGAGCAGGTGGAGGGGATGGCAAAATGGATTAAGACAGCAGGTGTATATTCTGTAGTATTTAAAGTACCAGCCCGTACAGAAAAGACAGAAGATCCTTTGGGTATGTATAGTGTTAACACTGATATTTCACCCAACTAGCCACTTTTTAGAAAGGGTAGAAAAAACATAAGACTCTTGTTGGGGGTGGGGGAAGATTTCGAGTTGGATCTAGAAAGCAGTGAGCTTATGGGAGGTCAGATTATGAGATATAGTGAGAATAAAGGACAGAAAATAGGTGTAGTGTGTAAGAGAATAGTTAACCACAAGAATAATAAAGTTTCAGAAAGAGTGAAGTGAGCTAAGATCCAGGAGGAGTGTTGTATAGTATTTACAATTGCATTGAATAGCAATTATCAACAATAATGGAGCAACAATCATAGAATCTATGTGATCTGAATAACAAGAATAGGAAGTACAGGACCTTGTGCTATTGGAACACAAGTGAAGGGTAAAACAGAAAATTAAATATACACTATGAAATAGAGAACAAGGAAAACCAAACAATGCAATTTAACAAAGGGAAGACTAAACAGAAAGAAGAGAAATAAAAAAAATAGTAATAAAAGATGTAAAAACAATGAAAAAATAATAATAATATAAACCCTGTAACTTGCAAGTTCTCTGGAATAGCAAAGTGAAATTTGTCTCACTGTCTCAGTTGTTGGGTTGACCACTTTTTGGGTCTAATTGTGGTCCTTTCACAGCTCCAGGTAAAGGAAGGAAGGGAGGAAGGATGGAAGGAAGGGGAAAAAAAGCCTCTGCTGCCTTTAAACTGGCCAAGCCAGTTCTGCTGGTCTTCCTGGGTGCAGCAGGCTGAGCGGGGGATTGGTTTCACTCTTCTCTCTCCCTGTGGTTTTGCGGAGATGGCAGTCAGGTCTGAGCCACACTATTTGCAGTTGCCCAGCTACCAGCCCAGTTCCTCAGTTCGCTGCCCAGCCCCAAGTGCCCTTCTACACCAGGCCTATGCCTTCAGTCCACCAGTTGTGCTGTCTTTGAGGTGCATCAGTTAGGAGCAACTCACACACTGCCTTCTCACTCTGCTGTCACAGATGCTAGGGACTCTCAGTCTCTTCAGGGCAGGGGAGCCATTGTTGCTGCAGCAGTGGACACAGGCTCGTGTCTCCTCTGCTGCTGCAGGCAGGGTGGTGGGGTCAGGTGCAAGGTGCCTCTGGGTGGAGGGATCAGGGGTGGTCTGCCCCAGGGGCTGGATGGGTAAGTGCTCAGCCTCTACTACTGGGGCAGGATTGGCAGCCACTGGGCCACGGGTTTGGGCACACACTGCCTCTGGGGCTTCAGGTGTGAGCACATGGCCTCCACTGCAGCTGTAGCAGCCAGGGCTGGTTAACAGTTTTAATATGGGTGGATGCTGTTTTGGTTGCTATTTCTGCATTTGATGAACATATTTCTCTCCTTTAACCTGTTAAGGCAGTGCTACAGCATCTGCAAGTTTTCAAATGCTAAAGAAACCATGCATTCCCATAAAAAATACATACATTTATCATGATGTAGTAAACTGCGTTTAGGTATTTGCTAGCTTTGTTTCGAATTTTTACTTTCTGTTCATGGATATTGGCCTTAATTTTCCTTTCTTGTGCTTTCCTGTCTCATTTAGGTGTATTCAAAGCATTGTGCTGATATACTTTCTCTTCTGGAAGATTTTGCATAAGACTTAAACTATTTGTTATTGCAAGTTTGATGCACTTCACCCTAAAAATAACTGGACCTAGTACTTTATATAAATATAAATACAAATACAAATATAAATATAAATGTGTGTGTATGTATGTATATATATATATATATATATACATACACACACACACACACACACACACACTGGCTGGGGTGTGTGTGTGTGTTTGGTTTTTTGCTTGCTGATTTGGGGACTATTGATACCTGAGGAATGCTGAAGTCTAAAAGTTTGTGACCAGTGTGACTCAATTAAGCATGATCCCGCAAAGCAAAAGGTCGTCAGTTCAATTCCTGGTCAAGGCACATGCCTGGATTGCGGGCCCAGTCCCTGGTTGGGGATGCGTGTAAGAGGCAACCAACTGCACACATCTATGTTTCTCTTCCTTTTTTTCCCTCCCTTCCCCTGTGTCTAAAATGAAATCTTTTTTTTGAAAGTTTGTATCCCTTCAAAACTTGTATGTTGAAATCCTAACCCCAAAGGCAATGGCATTAGAAAATGGAGCCTTTGTGAGGTGATTAACATGCGGTGGAGCCCTCATGAATGCAGTTAGTGTCCTTTCAAAAGGCCCCATCTGTCCCCTTCATCATGTGAGAACATGGACAGCAATGGCTATGGAGCTGGTAGAGGGCCTAAACCAGAAATAGAACCATGCTGGTACCTTGATCTTGGACTTCAATAGTGATAGCCTTCAATAGTGAAAAATGAATGTTTATACGCCACCCAGTCTGTGGTATTTTGTTACTGCAGCCTAAACAGATTAAGGCAGGGAAGTTATATTTTCGTAGAAATTTCCCCAGAAATTAGAGAATTTGAAAGAATGGTGGCAGGAAGAAGGGCCTTGCAGACGTAGCATTAATAACCCAGAAAAGTTTGTTCCTTACAATCCTAAAACACTAAGACTCAATAGTCCCAGGAGGCAGAAAATGAATTCAATGATTTTTGCTTTGCTTACACTCCACCCCCAATAGCACCTCTTCCAAGTTTTTAAAAAAACAAAATGGATACTTCAGTCCTTAAGTGCTTCCTACTCCTGATAAATTAGGCAAAACTAGATGATTGGCCTCTGTAAAGGTCAATAATTTTAGTCTGACTTGTGAGAGAACTGCTTTTAGCTTACTCAGTTATATTTCAGAAATGCTGAAGTAGACTTACTTGTTGAAGGATGTATTAGTCCATTTTTGTAGAAAAAAAGCATCAAGACTTAGAGCCTGATTTTTTTCTAGTGGCCTGTGGAGTGCAGGGAGGGAGCGAGCACCATGCAATGACACAGAAAGGAGCCTGGCTCATTTTACCACCAGGGAGGATACCTAGGTCCCATATTGTTCCTGTGCAGGAAACAGGCACAGCCTGGTAGGCCAAGAGTTGTAGATTAACTTGTGAAAGCTGCAGTTGTTTGAACCTTTTTCAACTTAATACAGCAAAGATAATTCTTTATGAGAAAACAAGTGAAATACCATGTACTTTGTGACCTAAAATAAAGTGACTTTAGATCTGATTTAGAGTTTGAAACAAGTAGTCAGGGAGAAAACTCACAAGACTATATACCTGCACAATTTTCTTTTCAAGTGGATGGCTTAGGAAACAGGGGAGAAACAACCCAGAAATTTTAACCACCACCAAGTACAGAACTTGCTTTTAAATAAAAAAGCAAGTTTAGTGAAAGCTGAGGTAGCTAGAGGTCACCTGTTTACATTTGTCCTCCAAAACATTCTTCTTAGTACAACTGGCTTGCATACACTTAAATATAATTTCAAAAAATAGGTTTCCAGATTACTCCGAAATTTAGACTTTATGACTGCACTTTTACAGGTGACTGTGCTTCCCAGCAATGCTTGTGAAAGCTGGTGGCTGTTACCACACATTAGCAGAAAGAAAAAAAAATAGTGACCCTTTGATTTACAAATTCTCTATTTTATAGTCAATAATAACTTAAGAGCACACACAAAAATCATTTTTAGACACTTTCCTAATATTCCTAAGGTTATCCTGCATCATGTAGTCTCTGATGTCTGATTAGGTCTATATTCTGAAGTTTAACCCATAATTAAGTACTTTTTATCACTTTCTCCCCAGGATGAATTCTTTGATATTCAGTATGGAATGAACTTCAGTTGAAATATTTTCCACATGCATTTTACTTACAGTTTTCCTCCAGTATGAGTCCTCTGGTGATTAGTAAGGGAAGAACTCTGACTAAAAGCTTTCCCACATTCTTTACATTTATAAGGTTTTTCTCCTGTATGAATTCTCATGTGTGTCATAAGGGATGAACTTTGTCTAAAGGCTTTCCCACACACTTTACAGTTAAATGGTTTCTCCCCAGTGTGAATTCTCTGGTGCTGAATTAGAGCTGAGCTTTGGTTGAAGGCCTTTTCACAATCATTACATTTATACGGTTTCTCTCCAGTGTGAATTTTTCGATGAGTATTAACTGCTGAGTGGGAACTAAAGGCTTTTCCACATTCTTTACAATTATATGGTTTCTCTCCAGTATGAATTCTATTGTGTATATTAAGCCGTGAAATCCAGGAGAAAGCTTTTCCACACTCATTACATTTGTAGGGTTTTTCTCCAGTATGAATTCTTTGATGTTGTATGAGAGCCGAGCTTTGGCTGAAGGCTTTCCCACATTCTTTACACGAATAAGGTTTCTCACCTGTGTGAATTCTCTGATGTATAATGAGAGCTGAGTGGTAACTGAATACTTTCCCACACTCATTACAATTAAAGGGTTTCTCTCCAGTATGAATTCTATGGTGCCTACTTAGCCGTGATATTGAAGTAAAGGCTTTCCCACACTGACTACATTCATATGGTTTCTCTCCAGTATGAATTCTATGATGCTGAATAAGAGATGAGCACTGGCTAAAGGCTCTCCCACATTCATTACACTTATAGGGCTTTTCCCCTGTGTGAATTCGCTGGTGATTATTAAGGGATGAGCTACCTTTAAATGTTTTCCCACACTCATTACATTTATAGGGTCTCTCTCCAGTGTGCATCCTCTGATGTCCAATGAGAGATGTAGTGAAACTGAACGCTTTTCCACAGTCACTGCATATGTAAGGTTTCTCTCCAGTGTGAACTCTCAGGTGCTGAGTCAGGGATGAGCTTTGGCTGAAGGCTTTCCTACATTCCTTACATTTATAGAGCTTCTCTCCAGTGTGGATTCTCTGATGTTTACTCAGGGAAGAACTGTGGAGGAAGATTTTCCCACATATGTTACACTCGTAACATTTTCGCACTGTATTGACTCCCAGTTGTTTAAATAGAATTGAATACTGCTGTGAATGGGGTTTCCTTCCTCTGGAAACAATTCTGGGTTTCCTAATAACTGATGATATTAGACCAAGATTTTTCTCAAGTTCAATACCTATGAGGTTCCTCTCCTTTGTGTAGGATTTTTTTATGGTAATTGAGACTTTCCTGAAAGGTTTGTTCTTTTTGCCTTGCTGCTTCTCCAGCTTGTCCTCATTTATGTAGATTTTCTCCAACTTGAAGTTAAAAGTACCATCACCTATGAGTTTACTCATTACTTCCTGATAGTCTTCTTTGGAAAATGTGGTTTCAAACAAGCTCCCCCACCCTAAAATAAATAAAACATGTAAGTCTCCCTTGCATTGGGAATAAAGAAAAGTGACATCAAAATATACAAGGATCACTAACAAATATATGCTCAGAATCTAAACAAATACAGAAGTTCTAAGAAGTGATGAGAACTGTATGAAAACAAAAACGAGGTGATGTATAAGGGTGAACAAGCTGGTATTTTAAACTGTGTGATGAGAAAATTAAACATGAGATATAACTAGCTGGCCATGCAAACATGTAGGTATAAAAATAACTCCAGTTAGAAAAAAAACTTTGTGTTTGAGAAACATAAAGAAGTCCAGTTTGTTTAAGCAAGAGGGAACAAGGGAGGAGTGCTGCAAGGTGAAGAGGTGGGCAAGTGCTGTGTCATGTAGCGCCTTCTAAAATCTAGAAAGGCATTTGGAATTTCTTATCAGGATCACTGGGGGTTGAGAGGGACACAATTTTGTTGAAGAAGAATAACTATGGTGTTGTCTGTCAAGGGGGTAAGGGCAAAGTAAACAAGGGCATATGGGGAGCAGCCAGTCAGGAGACTGACAAAACCCTCCTGGACGGAGGAGATGGCAGTTTGCAGTGGCATGGCAGTGGAAGCAGGCACATTTGACCTGCTCTGGAGGTAGAGGTAACCGGCATCTTCACCTACTAACAGTGTGTGCAGAGTAAGTAGAAAACAGGATGCAAGAGTAATACCTAGCTCTTGGCCCGGACAGATCAATGGAGACAGGGCCATGCGATAATATGGGAAAATTGAGAGAAGAGTACTTTCCAAGGACAGTTTTGTCCACTTTTTTGATTACTTAGGATACAGTGCAAGAAACAGAATCAGTTATTCAAAAGGAATAAATATATTTTATGAAAGAGCTTTTATTTCCTTAAAAAGAAAGGAGATATACAATCATGAGAAAAATTCAGAAAACTATAAAAATGAAAATGTAGTTTACCCATAAACACATGCAATGAAATCCTATTACATGTGAAATTTAGCACACCAGATTTTTTTTGTACATTAAAAAAATCTTTTACTTAAGAAATAAAAACAGACTGAAACTAAATTTCTCCCTCCCCCCTCTTCATTTAAAAAAAAACAAACTGTGGGCTTCTCTTCATGTAGATAAATGTAGGATGACACCATCTTTTTAAGGGCCGTGTAATATTCCAGTCATGAACACATCATCATTTACTAAATCCCTTCTGAAAATCATTTAGATTTCTTTTTCCCCAGTAATCCCTCATGTTGTGCCCTGGCTGGTGTGACTCAGTAGATTGAGCACCGGCACATTCTTTTACACATTCTTTGCAACTTTGCACAATTGTAGAATTATTTTCTTAAGACAAATTTCCAAACCTGGAATTGATTTTAATGATGCCAGATAGATTGTACCTATCAAAATCCCACTAAAGATATTGCATGACAGTATGGGGACAGTGGCGCAATGGATAACGACGCATCTGACTACAGATCAGAAGATTCTAAAGATATTGCATGTCACTTGGAGAGTAGCAAAACACTGGATATATATTTCTTAATTTCTGGTAATTTAATAAGAAAAAAATGGTATCACTGTTTTAGTTTGAATTTCATTGATTATAATGAGGTTGAGTAGTTTTGAAAAAAATCCTCAGTGAATTTTCAATTCCCATTCCTTGCCTTTTTAATCACAATACTCATGCCTTTGTGCTGTAATTACTCTCTGGACTTTTTATCTTTATATCATACCTTTGTATCTACAGCCACAGCAGTAATATCAACAGGGAAAAACTAAAAATTAAAATTTGTAAAAGACTGTTCAATAAAATATGGCTTAACAATACAACAGAGTCCTTTCAAAGAGGTAGGCCTCTACTTCATGAGGGTTGAACAATTGAAGGACATTCCCAATTAAAAACAGGCTCAATAACAACATGTATAATCAATCTTTCTGTTTCTCTCCATCTGTGTGTGTCTGTCTCTCTCGTGCACAAACACACTCAAACAATACTCACACAGTCTGAAAGGATTAACAGTAAAATACCAGCAAAGGTGCAATGTGGTTGGTAAAATTTCAAGGGAATCTCCTTTTCCAGCTCCTCTTATTTATTATACTATGTATACCTTGTACAAATAAATGCATATTGAAGAATTAGAGCCCATTTGGCACCAGTGATTTTTCTGACAACCAGAAAGCTCAGAATCAAGTCAGAAACTCATCCTGGCTACCCATTCTGGTACTTTCTACAGATATATTTACGTTCTAGAGTGCTGAATGAATTTCTATTTTATTTTATCATTATTCTTGCAGTCGGCTTCCTTGAGTTATTAGTAGAATATGGCAGAGTATACGTAAAATATGTAGTAGAAAAAAGATCCCTGAAATGAGAAAGACTTGGCTCTTCAAAGCAAAGGGCCTTTCTTAACAATATTAAGAAATATAAATAAACATCCTGATACAGCCTAATGAATTCTGAATTCTAAAGATAAAGAGGATATCCTATAATTTGAGACAGAAGACAAGACCAAAAAACATGTATTTCTATACAGGAAATAGAGGAAGCAGGATCACACTAACAGATTTTTTAGCAACAAGAGATTCTGTAGCACTCCAAATACAGTGGAGCACAATTTGAGCAATTCTGGGAGAAAACCTGATGCCAGAATTCTAGATCTAAACATAATTCCCACAGGAGAGGTAAAAAAACTGACTTTAGACAAGCACAAATATAGTACATGTGAACCTTTCTGAAAACATTTTTTAAGAACACATTCAAGTCAAACCAAAGGGAAAGATGTGAAGACAGAGTTCCTGAAAGGACACAGAAGACTGAGTGGACACAGAAAGCCTGCCTCCTGCCATCAAGAGAAATAAATGCTGGCCCTAGCTGGGGTGACTCAGTGGCTTAAGTGCCAGACTGTAAACTAAAGGGTCACTGGTTCGATTTCTGGTCAGGGTACATGCCCAGGCCGGTCCCCGGTTGGGGGCATGCAAGAGGCAGCCAATAGATGCCAATAGATGTTTCTCTCTTCCTCTCCCCCACCCCTCTAAAAAGAAATAAAAATTTTTTAAAAAGATAAATAAATGCTAGATAAGCAGCAAAAGTCAGAGGAGAGAGCCATCCTCTGGTACCAGAAACAAAGATAAAATTCAAAGTAGAACAGAGAGTGAGAGCTTAGGACCCAGCAACCCATGGAGTTCCAGCGACTGAGACCCAAGTCCTGGTAGCTGGGGTCTGGAACATATTATCTTAAAAATTTTCACAAAAGATTTAGTCATGATGAATATCTGCAAAATTTCTGCCTACATTTCATAACTGTTACCATTTTGCTACCCTGCCCTCTCTCCCTCATGTTGTATATGAATATAAGCACAGCTTTTTTTTCAGCTGAATTATGTGTAATAAGTTGCAAACCAGAAAGTCAAAGCAAAAACCCAATATGGAACAATGAGATTGTACTTAATGTTAAAAGGTATGTGAAAACCACAAAAAGGAAATAACTTAAGAAAATAATCCAGAAAAGCACAAAAAAAGGAGGGAGACAAACCTTCACACACTATGTATTATATATTCTGCACTCAAATTACAAGGGGAGTATTTTTTAAAAAGTGCAATCCAAATCGGAAGAATCCACCTCTCCCTCTGAACCTCCTACATCAAGTACTCAAAAGGTAAGACTGTGAAGCTACATCCTTTCCAGCATTTCCCACCTGGCCAGGGCCATCAGCAAAGGCCCTGGTCAGTGTCAGCTGAGAGCAGCCTCCTGGCTGGCTGGCAGGCAGCGTCCCACAGATAGACCAGATAGGCCCATTCCCCAGGGACCGTCACTCACCTAGACGTGCACCGTAGGAAAGTCCATTTCCCACCATCCAGGGGTCTTCCCCTTGCTGTAACTGGAAGATAACCTTTGGTTTGGAAAACAGAATCCCTGTGTGTGAGCAAGAAAAAGAGAATGAGTCCATGGCACAGGCACAAATAGCCATCCTGGCCTGTAGATCCAGGCCCAGTGTCTTGGGCCAAAAGGACAGTCCAAGGAAAGAGAGAGGTTTGTTCTGAGAGGGGCTTAAACCTGGGCTTCCAGGGAATCAAGAAAAAGGCTAGAGCTCTGGCTGTGTACTCCTCTAAGCTGGAACCTCCTGTGAGTCACAGGGAACAGAGGCCAGGGACAGGAGACAGGAAAAGCACAGAAAGAAACGTCACCAACTCTATGAAGTTGAAACCTTCGCAGCAGCTGAGAGGAATAGCAACTGCTACCCTCAAAGCCCACCTACTGCAGTGGTGGACTGAACCTGCGTGAGCCCTCAATGTCCTCCTTGGAGAGAACACCAAGATGCACCCCCAGCAGAGTATACATCGCCAGGCAGAGCCTTACCCACAGAACCTGAGTTGAGGCAGGGCCTCATCCACAGAGCCCGGGACAAGGCAAGGGCTCAACCAGTGAGCCCAGGACAAGGCCCAGCCTTACCCAGGGACACCAGGCTGTGGTAGTTCTCCAGCATCACCTCCCGGTACAAGGTTCTCTGTGCAGAGTCCAGGCACAGCCACTCGTCCCGGCTGAAGAGCACGGCCACGTCCCCGAACGTCACGGACTCCTGTAATAGCAAAGCCACTTCTGCTTGCCCAGAACCATCCCCACAAGGGGATGACTGAACAGTAACCCTGCTACCACTCAGGGCCCTGAGGATTTCAAGCCAAACTCTTCCTAACCCCCTCAGTTCCTAAGCACGAATCCATCACACACCTTCTGTGCAAGAAACCCTGTGCCCTCAGAATCTGAACAGCCACCAAACAAGACAAGCACTTAAAGTCATTAAACAAACCAGAATGACAGAGATGCAGGCCTTCAGATGTGGAAATGGACAATCATCGAGACCAAACTCCTTCCACAGGTGAGGTGTCAGCATCAGGTTTTAGAAGGAGTCTCCAGCACATTCCCTCAGGGAGGAACAGGTGTGCTGGACTGTCCCCATCTTGGGCCATCTTTGTGTCCTGGGTGAGGGGAGGCCCTGAAAATGCCCCAAGCATGGCTTTGTCAGGACAGGGCCCAGGCAGTGGGCTGCACGAACCCTTCAACAGATCCCGGTGCAAAGGCTGCAGATAGAGCCCTCCCATCCACCCAGAGGCCCTTGCCCACCTCTCCCCAGCTTCCCTAGACCACTCACCTCTTTTAAACTAGTGACCCCTTTCTTTTCTTATTAAGAATCTTTTTCTTTAAAAGCAACTTAGCAAAGATCAATAAGTAAAAGAAAAAGAAATGTTAACTTTCTACCACAGAAACAAGTTTTGTTAACTTCTTCCTATGTGTCCTTTCAGATTTTTTACATGCTAAAACCGCTTTATATTTAAACAAAGACAGAAGATCCACTGCACGTTTTATTTGTTGTCTCTCATTTCATTGTATAGGTCAATCAGTTCATGTAACTAATCTACTGGTGGACATCTGGGTTATTTCCACTTTAGTAACTCTAAAAATGCCGGCTTGAGCAGCCCTGCAGGTCACCGGGAAAGTGTGCAAAGCTTTCTTCCTTAGGACACATTTCTAAAGGTGTCAGTGTAGAGTCACAGCATGCTTTCTCTTTACGGTCCTCCAAAGCCAGGAAGGAGGTCGAAAGGCCAGGAATGTTCTCTGGCCTGCAAGGGCAAACACAAAAATGAGAGGCTGTCTCAGTCCTTTTCAGTGTGTGTAAATCTTTTTAATAATGGCTAAAAAAGCCTCACCACACAGGAAAGGGTCCTCAAGGACTGGTAACCATCCCTTGGAATGAGTCAACCCCCAGTTTCCTGGAAGACATGGGCCTAACTTGTTACCTGACAAATTTGCCACACTGTAAACCTGGGTTGGATAATCCACTCATTTGCCTTCAAGGAGCTTTCCACCTTTGTGATCTCTTTAGCAGATCGCCTGGGATACACATCACACTCTGGCCAAACACTCACTTGAATGAGGTTTTTGTTGGTCTTCTATTTTTGTTGAGAAGTTTTCTGGGTTGGAAAGAGATTATGTTTTGAAGTATGCTTCCCATGAGCCATGAAAGGGTAAAGAAGGGAAGACAGATTTTTTTACATGCTTTCAGATTTTTTACATGCTAAAACCACTTTATATTTAAACAAAGACAGAAGATCCACTGCACGTTTTATTTGCTGTCTCTCATTTCATTGTATAGGTCAATCAGTTCATGTAACTAATCTACTGGTGGACATCTGGGTTATTTCCACTTGAGTTCCATTGCTGCAGACTGGATGCTTCCTTGCTCAGGGAAAGCTCGCTTACTTCCTCCAACCTGTCACCTCTTTCTTCTCTTTTTGCCATCTACATGAGCCCAGTACTGCTTGTCAGTCCAAAACTGCCCAATACTGAGGCATGTGTCCCTGACCACACCTGCTGACTCAGAGGTCCTCTTTCCTGGATCCTCCTAGAAAAATCACCTGGACCCTTACCAGGTACTGCCATGGTTGACTAGGAAGGCAAAGGCGCTGCCTTTCCTGCATAAATCCCTCATGTTGTGAGGGAATCATTTGACTCTTCCATGTCTTCACCCTTCACAGAGCACAGATACCCTGGATCCCTCACAGAGCTCTGAGTGTGACCGTGGATGGGACCTGTGGCCCATTGAATTCCTAGTCAGCAAGGACTTAACTGTTAAGCACAGAACTGACAATAAGTCTGGCAGTGAGTTGAGGCAGACTCCCTCTGATCCGACTGGGGCTTCCTGCCCAGATAAGCTCAGCAATGAGTGGAGCATGTTCATGAACCTCTGAACCCAAAAGGCAGTTCGAGGAAGGAAGCCTCACTCACCTGAGCCTGGGGTGGAAGCAACTCTGTGGCCATTTCCCCCTGCCGGCTGCCCTGGCTGCAGGAGGCACCTGTAAGGAAGAAGGAAGCTGTGACACTGTCCACACTGTCAGCACTCCCATACTTCAGGCCAGGCCACCACCACTGCACAGGGAGCCCCTGAAGAGGGAACCTCCAGAGAGAGGGGCCCTCAGCATGCCCCCAAACTCCCCATCACAGGCCTGCTACCTTCCAGCCAGTGGTTTGTGAATAAAGGATAATCCAACTAAGGTGTGAGAATTATCTGAAAATGCATGAACAGAGTGCAGGGCCATCAGCCCAGGCTCAAAGATTTAAAGCAATGAAAAATGACACAAATATTCCGCACATCAGCACTTTGATACTTTGAGCTATAATAACTGTAATTATGACAACAAAAAGAGGGCTACACAGGCCTGACAAGCCCAGGAACCAAAAGTAACCTGAGGACAGTATGCATGGTGACTCCTAACTGGCCCATCAACCTTCACAGTAGGCGAGCCCTGCCTACTATCCTCCTGCAGCTAAGACTCTTTCTCTGCCGAGTCAGAGGAACTCCAGCTTCCAGCTCCTTCAAAAAGAGCACCGAGTCCAGAACTCAACTCAGACCTCCCTGCTGTCACCTTGCTGCACCCACCGTCTCCTCCAGAGACTGCCCGAAGTCACCAGGCTACACCCACCAGCGCAAGCGCCACACATCTCTCTCCATCTTGCTTTTCATCCAGTCCCGGAAATTTCCCCAGCTCTGCTTCTTCTGCCTTCTTAACCTAGTGACCTGCCTTACATTTTTTCCTCTGATTCCGAAAATATACAAGGAACTGTACGCCTGCTATTCTCGGAGCATTTCTCAATCCACTCAGTCTTGCTTCAAGGCATGTCCTCAAATAAATCCTTATGGGTTTGAAGGCTTCTTTCATTGACAATTTTAATTCTTCAAGTGTCATCTGAAGAGCTTGGTGTGCTGTTCAGAAATAGCTAACCAAAAATTCTTCTGTTCTCTTCCTCTTGGAAGCTGCGCTTCCCTTATGAAAAAGAGTTACCAAACCTCCCTGTGTGAAAGGAACCATTACCGACCCACCTTCCCTTTCCCACCTCCTGAAATACAAGACTCAGAAGGAATAGCGTCGCTGGCTAGAAATGAACTTTAAAGACAGAGTAAAAGGACGTTACAACAACAAAAAAATAGTTAAGTCATTCTAGGAAAACGATGCCAAACAAGCAAGGTTTACAAGAACGGATAAATCTAAAGTACATGTATGCTCTGGGGAAGCGGGGAACCAACAAACACTACAAGCCGAAGACCACCACAGAGTTCACGAACCCCGAAACAAGACACTGTTCGCTGCAATCCTTTCCCACGGCCATTCCTCACGGAGCCCGGCCCGGGCACAGGCCCAGGACGAAAGCGGCTGCAGCTCCAACTTCCGGCCTCCAAGTTGGCCCCTCTGGGCAACGCCCCCTCCCCGGGCCGCGTCCACTTGCCCGGGCCGCCACGGCTAGAGCGCACCAAGCTGGGACTCGGGCTCTGGCCCCACCGCAGGAGGTGCACAACCTGGGCCCTCTCTCACCGGCAATCCGTACTCAGCGCCGCCGCAACAGGTCGCGAAGCTGCCAACCTCACCGGAGGCAAGCGGAAGACCTAGGGTAAGAACAGTTCTCACCGAAGCCGCCGAGCTTCAATGCGCCTGCGCACCGGAGAGCCGCGGGGTCCCCAGCTTGAGGCACGGTGCTTTTCCTTTCGAACTCTATTTCCCAGATGCAGCCGCGGCAGGCACCTCGACGGTGACCAGGAAGGATCAATAGCAACAGGCCTGAAGAATGCTCCCTCCTAGAAGCCAGGGAAGGTTGACCTACATCTCGAAGCATCAGCTCTAACCTCTTATCCTCTCGTTCACCCTTTTTATTCGTGATTATAATGACAATGATGATAAGAGGGAAATATGATAATGTATTTTAAAATGTGGAACATTACGCACTCTCTGATCCTTATTCTTGGTTGGTAAGAGAAGTGTTCAAATCCGTTACAAATTTTTGTCTAAATTATGTCTAAATTTTGTGGCCTCTAAAAGATATATTTTTAACTGGCATTCACATTAGGTAAAAACAAAAACAGAAACCCAGTACGTCCCTTTCCATAACACTCATTCTTTTAAAATGGTTCATTATAATCATGAAGCTTGTCTTCAGCTTCGACTACAATCCCCTTCTTCAAACTGCATTCCCATGACTGGCACCGTACATACCAAATAACATGAGCTCAATATGTTAAATAAATAGTTTTTAAAATATTCAACATTATAGCTTACAAAGGAAAACCTAATTCTAAAGGGCATTTGAAGGTAGAAAATAAAGAGGTTAACTAAATATGCCAGGAAAATGTGAAAAAGAAATCTGGGATCACAATGTTACAATAATATCTTTTCAAAGTAAAAAATGATTAAAATTGGATACATGAGTTGTTTTGTGTTGATAAAAGATACACATGACTAACCACACACGACTAACCATTAGGGAAATGCAAATCAAAACCATAATGAGTGCCCTGGCTGGTATGGCTCAGTAGATTGGTCCTCATCCTGCAAAACCCAGGTCATCTGTTTGATTCTGGGTCAGGGCACATGCCTGGGTTGCCCACCAGGTCCTTGGTTAGGGGCATGAGAGAGGCAACGGATTAATGTTTCTCTTGGACAGCTATGTTTCTCTCCTTCTCTTTCTTCTTCCCTTCCCCTCTCTCTAAAAATAAATAAAAATAAAATCTTTTTTTTTTTCAAAGCCTCCATGGAAGCTCTGGCTGGGTTGGCTCAGTTGGTTGGAGCTTCCTCTCATGCACAAAAAAAAAAAGGTTGCCAGTTCCATTCCAATCCTGGAATGTAGGGGAAGCAGCAACCAATCTCTCTCTCCCCGACCTCCCTTGGATGAGGATTTTTAAAAAATAACAATAAAAATACAAATCACAACGGGATATCAGTTTGCAACAGGGTGCAGCCAAGAGGGGGGACCCCAAATAGGGATTTGGAATGGGGTCCAGAACTCAAGGTGTCCAGAAAATATTAGGATGCCCTCACCCCCGCCCCAACAGGTGTGGGTTGGGGGAAAGGACAGATGGAGCAGGGCCATTGAAAGCTGTTTTACATAGCAACAGCTTTGCAGCTAACCTCTGGTGTGGTCACTTAACATATCTATAACCTTTAACTGGTTGCATAGATATGTTAAATAGCTGTGGCCATGCTCTGAGCCAGGGGAATGGAAGTAACTTCCCCACCAAGATGTAACTGAGGGCAGGTCCCCCCCGCCCCCACCCCAGTTACAGCGCCTGCCTGGAAGCTTGGAGAAGATTGGCTCCATGCCATGGGGCCACACCTGCCCAGACTCATGATGGCAGCCCAGTAAAACTGGAAGGATATGAGAGTGTTGGCAAGTGTAGCTGATTGTGGGGGGAGTCAGAAATGGGGCTGCAGAGGAAGATTGGCTTGGGGATTTAAAACCGAGACGCAGCACCAATTGGAGGGAGAAACACTCAGTCTTTAGCAGAATTGGGACTCCCGTGTCCTTGTGCAGAGAGAGCCACGCAGCTTTGCCAGAGTGGGGACCCCTGAAGCTTTAGAAGAGGGAACCACCACCTGGCTTTAGCAGAGATCCTGGCGACACAGCTGATGGAGCCAGGAACCGAGAGAGGCCTACCAGCTGAGACAGATTACTGGGAAGAACCAGGGGCTGCCTGAGCCACGGACTTCTATTTCTTTTCCTGAGATATGGTACCCCAGACTGGGCAAAGGGGTAAGGAAGGACTGTGTGTGTTTGTGGGTGTTTTAAGGGACTTTTGGATTTTGATGAAGACATTAGGTCACTACTTTAAGTCTGTGTGGCATTAAATAAACATTTCCTTTCCTTTTCACTAATCTCTGGCATTGAGAGACATCTTTCCTCTGCGGCAGACATAACAAACCTGGGGGGGTTCCTTTTGGTAATAGTATATTGCCCTTTGGCCCCCCTTGGCCCCTTTTGTTCTGTAACAAGTTCACACCTCTTAGTGTGGCTGCTGTGAAAACAAAACAATGCCATACAGAAAACAAGTGCTGATGAAGACCTGGAGACGGTGGAATCCTTGCGCGTTGCTGGTGGGAATGTAAAATGATGCAACCACAGTGGAAAATAGTAGGGTGGTTTCTGAGACAATTAAAAATAGAATTACTGTATAACCCAGCAATTCCACTTCTGGGTATATGCCCAAAAGAATTAAAAGCAGGGTCTTAAACAGGTATTTGTATACCAGTGTACACAGTGGCATTATTCACAATAGCCAAAATGTAGAAATATGTAGGAGACCATTCTGCATGGCGTGGGCCCAGCTCCCACTTGGAGATGCACAGGACCCATGCCCACGGATAGGTTCTCCCATGGGGAATCAGGCCTACAATGTGCCTAGGCCACTTTGAGTCTTGCTCTTGCTAAAAAACTCCCTCACCCTGAATTGAGGACATTTACTGCAAACTAACTTCCTAAAACCCATGCTAAAGCTTCCAAGGATGAGTATAACCAGTTCTACCACTTTTGCCTTTTCATTTGCAAATATCCCTCTTCTGTGATGTGATTAGCAGCACTGGTTCCTTTGTTTTCTGTAAAACATAACCACCTAAAGCGAACCTGTGCATAGTAAATGAGGACCATCATGTAGTATGCCAAGAAACCCTATTCAGGCCGATCATGGCAAGGGCCAAGGCTTTTGCTCCTCTTGAGAGAAAAGCCATGCTGTCCCTTTTCCTCCACTGGACTCGGTAGTCTGTGTGAATGTTCCATTTCATCCATAATGACTCGGACACTGCAGGCCGGTGTCTGCATCAGAAATAACCCAAGCATCAATGAAGGGCTGGGTGGATAAACAAAATGTGGTCTCCACATACAATGGGTTATTATTCAGCCATAGAAAGAAGTTCTGACACATGCTACAATATGGATGAATCTTGAAGGCATACTAAGTAAACTAAGCAGACACAAGAGACAAATATTATATAATTCCACTTATATAAGGTATCCAGAACAATCAGATTTATACACAAATAGTAGAATAATGGTTACCAGGGACTTGGAGGGAGAGGGAAATGAGGATTTATAGTTTAATGGGTACAGAGTTTCAGTTTGAAATAATGAAAAATTTCTGGAGAGAGATGGTGATGGTTGCAAAATGTGAATATAGTTAATGCAACTGAACTGTACACTTAAAATGGTAAATTTTATGTTATATGAATTTTATCACAATACAAAATAAAAACATAAAAATCATGAACCACTATTGGCAAAACAACATAGCACTGACATTTATGAAGTAAAAATAACATGGCAGACTTATTACCTCCCTTTATCTCTTAATATTCTTTAAAATAATAATAACATATATAATTTTCAAAGGAATATATTGAAAATATCTAGAAAAAGTCATCAAAACATCAGAAATTGAGTGAAAATCTTGGAAGGCATTGATAATGTGCTCTAAGATCCAAAATCCATCATATGTAAAGACTTGGAGGAAAAAGAAAAACAGAGAAAATGAAAAGGGGGAAAGAATTACAAATGGATTATATCAAGATATGGATAGAGGTACAGCAGAAAACATATTCAAGCTGAAAAAGATCTGGGCCTTCAGGTTAAATACAATATAAGGTGTTAAGCATAATAATTGGGGTGTAGGGGTGGAAAGATGGTGTCTACAAAAAATACAACCTGGGTTGAAACTTAAGAACTCTACGGAAAACAGGAAACCCTAAAAACTACCAGAATATAAGAAGGAAATAAAGATTACCTATGTATTTATTACTTGCCACAAGTAATAGATGCTACAGCAGAATAAGTGATTCATTGAAGCTGTTCAAAACACAGGATTCTTCCTTCTCTCCACCCTGCTCCTCAGGAGTGGAGTGAGATGTAGATATGGCCACAAGATCAAGTTTCTGTTGAGAAATAAAAGAGGAGAGGGACTGGGTGCTGGGTAACCAAGAATTCCACTCTTCCAGGCAAAGCAAGGGGTTAGGCTAGTCCTAGACTCTAATCAGCAGTTATGGATCCTAGAAGAATATGTGGAGTAATATTCTCAGATTTCTAAATTAAAATCATTTTGAATTTGGAATTCTATGACCTTTTAATCTAGCACTTACCTATGAGCAGAGCAAAGGCATTTGGAAGATGAAAATACAAATATACATACATTCTGATCTCTAGAATATTTCTGATGGAAATTGTCATGAATGCAATTTATTTTTAAAAATCAAAGTAAAACTTGTACAGATTATAAAAATGTAGTAAGTAAATGAATCGGAGTAAAAATGATTCTTGAAGCAGATTGTGAGGGTAATTTAACAATAGGGTTAAAAACCCAGTGATGGCAAAACAGAGAGGCAAAGAAGATATGAGAGCGAGCTGAGGTTCTTGTCTTATTCAGGAGAATAGCATAGATACAAGTTAACTTCAAATATAAAAAAAAAAAATTAATGTTTAAATATGTATGCTAAATATTTAATAGAAACCACCCAAATAGAAAAACAGTCAAATAGAATATGACTTTCTAATCAACTGCTGAGTAATCTTAAATTACATTGAACATCTCTTTTTAATTAAGTATTTGTTGGGGACCACTTTGTGTGGTATCAGGAACTGTAG